GCTGTCGGCAGAAGAGGCGGCCAGGGGAGAGACGGGAGCCACTTCCTCTCCCTCCTGACAGCAGAATTAGAAGGACAGAGGGGAGAAAGAGGAGAAGCAGACGGACTGGATGGGGAGCCATCAGACAGCCCTACAGGAGCAGGCTTCAAGAGCCAGCCTAACCCTCCCACCCTCCTTTCTGTATCTTAAGGGCAGAGCTATCGGGGCACCCTTCCACAGCCGGGAGGCAGCAGATGGACACCCTCACCCCTTTTCTCCAGAAGACCACACCATCCCTCCTCGACTCCCCACAGCCGGGAGGAAGGGGAGGGCAGAAAGCACCAGGGGCGGGAAGCGAATGACTTGGAATTAGTTATTAAGAGAGACAGCCACAAATGGGTTGACTCATTTTTATCCAAGAGCGCAGCAGCCAACACGCTGAGCTGAAGCTGTTCAAATGGCAGGCGACAGATAGACCAGACCCCCCGGACAGGTCCCTCTGGGCCCTGAACAATATTTCAGGGTCACAGCAACAATGGTTTATTTGCCACTGACGCTCTGAGAAAGCTGCTAGAATATAAAGTGTATAATATAACCTCCCCTTGCTGCCAGAACAGCCCTGCATCGAAATACCATGTGTGAACCTTAAATAGTGCCTTACGTTAACCACACTGAGCTGAGCTCCTCTCGGTGTCCCGCTAGAGCAGGAGGACCCAGCAAGCACGGTGCACAGCAGCATCACACCCTACCAGGCCCGGCTCCACGGATGGGCTGAGCCTAGCCTTGAAAACACCCCACGGGTGGGGAAGGGGCTACAGCACCAGGGATGGCGCTGGGGAAAAGGGATGCAGGGAGCAGACTGCACCTCTGCTGCTACAGAAACCTCTTCCCCAGCTGTATGTGGATGCAGGCAGGAAAGACCCAGCTCTGGGCTCCCATGCTGCAAGCCCCAGCCCTCCTGTGCACACTCATTCGCTGCTAGTCAGGGAGAGGCTGACGTGCACTGAGCATGTGGGATCTCAGCTCAACCTCTCGCAACCCGGCAGGCCCTGGGATCCCTGCCCAGGGACCCGGCTCCGCGCTCCCCTGCCCCAGGCCTACCCAGATCCCCGCAAGGTGCGAACCTGGCCGCATCCCTCGCGCGCCACGCTCGGCCCCTGCGCGGTAGCTGGGGGTGGGAGCAGGCCCGGCTGCCGGCGAGCGCTGCACGGGGCCGCCCGCCGCTCCCCCAGCGGGGGCTCCGGCCCTTTCTCGG